CAGTTTCCCGATTGGGGTTGGGGAGTCATCTAAGACCTAGACCTCAGGTCCTAAGACCCCTTAGGAAGGGGTCCACCAAGGGTCACGCCGGCTTGTGGTGGTGGGTGGGCGATGGTCCAGTTTGCCCGCTGTGACTTCACAGATTCACGGCCTATTATTCCTATTATTTTGAATTGCCATAAGGCTGGAATGTTCATTCTGTGCTTTTGTTTTACATATCTGCACACTCAAGAAACATCTGTGCACCATGTCGGCTCCAAATGAACGCATTGCGTCAGTGATGGCTGACCGGTGGGTGGATGGATAAGGGAGCTTAGGTGGGAAGCAGTATGAGAGAGGGGGGGGGAGAATCAGTGAGAGAGGGAGAGAATTAGTCAGAAAGGGAGGGAGAGAGAGATGCTAGGAGGGAGGGGGAGGTAGAGAGAGATGCTAGGAGGTAGGCAGGAAGGGACGGAAGTAGTGAGAATTAGGGAGGGAAAGGCAGGCTGGGAGGGAAAGGCAGGCTGGCAGGCACAGGCAGGCAGGCACAGGCTGGCAGGCTGGCTGGCTGGCTGGCAGGCAGACAGGCAGGCTAGCTTGCAGGCAGGCTAGCTTGCAGGCAGGCTGGCTGGCAAGCAGGCAGGCAGGCAGGCAGGCAGGCAGGCAGGCAGGCAGGCAGGCTGGCAGGCAGGTTGGCAGGCTGGCAAGCAGGCAGGCAGGCAGGCAGGCAGGCAGGCAGGCAGGCAGGCTGGCAGGCAGGCAGGCTGGCAGGCTGGCAGGCAGGCTGGCAGGCAGGCAGGCTGGCAGGCAGGGAGTGAGTGAGTGGTAGTCGCGCGATTGAACCGCGTGACCTTTAAAAGAGAGTATGGGATGTAGAGGGGGCGGGTGGTGTGTCGGTGGTAGGGGTGGTGGAGGCGAAACCGGCTCATTCCCGAAGATAAGCCTAACACACACTACCCGTTAGCATGATGGCATGGAGGGAGGCAGGCAGGCTGGGAAGGAGGGAGGCAAGCAGGCTGGGAAGGAGGGAGGCAGGCTGGGAAGGAGGCAGGCAGGCAGGCTGGGAAGGAGGCAGGCAGGCAGGCTGGGAAGGAGGGAGGCAGGCAGGCAGGCTGGGAAGGAGGCAGGCAGGCAGGCTGGGAAGGAGGCAGGCAGGCAGGCTGGGAAGGAGGCAGGCAGGCTGGGAAGGAGGCAGGCAGGCAGGCAGGCTGGGAAGGAGGCAGGCAGGCAGGCTGGGAAGGAGGCAGGCAGGCAGGCTGGGAAGGAGGCAGGCAGGCAGGCTGGGAAGGAGGCAGGCAGGCAGGCTGGGAAGGAGGCAGGCAGGCAGGCTGGGAAGGAGGGAGGCAGGCAGGCTGGGAAGGAGGGAGGCAGGCAAGCTGGGAAGGAGGCAGGCAGGCTGGCTGGGAAGGAGGGAGGCAGGCAGGCTGGGAAGGAGGCAGGCAGGCAGGCTGGGAAGGAGGCAGGCAGGCAGGCTGGGAAGGAGGCAGGCAGGCAGGCTGGGAAGGAGGCAGGCAGGCAGGCTGGGAAGGAGGCAGGCAGGCAGGCTGGGAAGGAGGGAGGCAGGCAGGCTGGGAAGGAGGGAGGCAGGCAGGCAGGCTGGGAAGGAGGCAGACAGGCAGGCTAGGAAGGAGGCAGACAGGCAGGCTGGGAAGGAGGCAGGCAGGCAGGAAGCGATATATGGGTGTTGAAGTGAACTGTGAACCACGTGACCTTTGAGTGTGTGTGTGTGTGTGTATGGATTTGGGGTGGGGGAGGTGTGTCGGTGGTGGGGGAGGGACCGGCTGACTCCGTAAGCCTAGCCACACTCCACAGACCTTTGACCCAGATTTGTTTCTTAAATGTACAGTACATCATCGTATATTTTTGGCAGGATGTGCCTGCAGGATGGCAGGATGTGCCTGCAGGATGGCAGGATGTGCCTGCAGGATGTTCTTGCAGGCTGGCAGGATGTTTCTGCAGGCTGGCAGGATGTTCCTGCAAGCTGGCAGGCAGGCTGGCAGGATGTTTCTGCAGGCTGCCAGGATGTTTCTGCAGGCTGGCAGGATGTTCCTGCAAGCTGGCAGGATGTTTCTGCAGGCTGCCAGGATGTTTCTGCAGGCTGGCAGGATGTTCCTGCAGGCTGGCAGGCAAGCTGGCTGGCAGGCAAGCTGGCAGGCAAGCTGGCTGGCAGGCAAGCTGGCTGGCAGGCAAGCTGGCAGGCAAGCTGGCAGGCAAGCTGGCAGGCAGGCTGGCAGGATGTTTCTGCAGGCTGCCAGGATGTTTCTGCAGGCTGCCAGGATGTTTCTGCAGGCTGGCAGGATGTTCCTGCAGGCTGGCAGGATGTTCCTGCAGGCTGGCAGGCAAGCTGGCTGGCAGGCAAGCTGGCAGGCAAGCTGGCTGGCAGGCAAGCTGGCAGGCAGGCTGGCAGGATGCTCCTGCAGGATGGCAGGATGTGCCTGCAGGATGTTCTTGCAGGCTGGCAGGATGTTTCTGCAGGCTGGCAGGATGTTCCTGCAAGCTGGCAGGCAGGATGTTTCTGCAGGCTGGCAGGATGTTCCTGCAGGCTGCCAGGATGTTTCTGCAGGATGGCAGGATGTTTCTGCAGGATGGCAGGATGTTTCTGCAGGCTGGCAGGATGTTCCTGCAGGCTGGCAGGATGTTCCTGCAGGCTGGCAGGATGTTCCTGCAGGCTGGCAGGCAAGCTGGCTGGCAGGATGTTCCTGCAGGCTGGCAGGAAACATTCAGAGGATGTTTGCCAGACGTCTTAATAATCAGTTAGGAACAATTAAGGACTTTTATAAAGCGAATCAGGACATCACTTATTGGTGAGTACAAACAAAATACAGTCGCATTTACGATGTGAACCTGTCGATTTTTTTCCCTAGAGTTGTTTCATAAATTTTTCAGAACAATTTCTTTTTACATTTCTAGTTTATTTTTTCCCCTCTATTTCTCGTATACGAACTTACATGTTAACCGACGGGTCTCGTCCCCAAGGGGTTCGGAAACCAAGTGGTGCTCCGTATTTATATATGGATAACTACTATAACTTGGTTCAACTTAGTGAACAGCTGCTTGAACAAGGTGTATACACCTGTGGTACTCTCAGATTACAGCATGGTGCACCCAAAGATCTTTAGCTAGAAGCAAAGGAAAAAGTGCCATTAGATAAAACTGTATTTCGGTGTAAGGAGAATACTTTTATATTTCTTTGGGAAGATAAGCAAGTTGTTTCACTCATCACAACTTGCCACAATGCAGATACACAAGAAGTGGAAAGAAGGAAAAAAAAGAGTACTCAAACGTGACGGAATGTCTGCCTCAACCTAGAAACCCTCCGATATTTAGGGGGTCAGAAGCAAGGAAAGGGGGGAATTAGAAGCAGGGGCAAGCCTCGCCCAAAGGGAAAGGAAGAGGAGGTGCAGATGGAGCCATGGCAGAGTTCACCAGCACTCACAATTCTGGGACCCTAAACATGAGGCTCTGGGGCATTCAAATGGGTACACAACCTAGATCGATGAAGGCAGGCAAAATGAATCCGCACAGTGGAAGCTGCCCAATACACTTAAATATCATAATGAGCATCAAAGAGTAGAGCCACATGGGGGAGCACAAACCCCACGGGACTCAGGGCTGTGTCTTTGGCACAAAAGGCAGAATTGCAGAGGCACAAGAAAATGACTGTCGGCCCAGGGCACAGACTATAAACTTTCCTCAAATGCACACTAGGCAAGAACATGGTCAGAGAGAGTATCCCCAGGGCAAACTGAATCCATGGGGGATTTCCAGGGCTAAAGGGTAAATAAAGCTGGACATCAGGCACTGGGAAGACTATGACGATCGGCCTCGGCATGTCATATGTAAAAACAGGTGAACCACCAGTGCATTGCATCAACCAATGTTCACTCTTGACCTGGATAAAGGCAGAGAGACCACAAGAACCCCTGACTCACCCAGGTGAGAGCCATCTCAAGCTGGACGGACTCCTAAGAGAGCGAAATCCCAAAAACACCAGAGAAGAGAACTGTCAGTGCAGGGACAGTGCCATAGAGCACTCTGGGAGTAGTCCTGAATACATGCCGCTCCAAGTGCTCTAAAAGGCAGACCCCCACAACATCAAAACAATGCACAACAAAAAGCCACTCAAGACAAAGTCCAAAGAAGATCGGGACTTAGCTGAGAAGCACTGGAATCCGCCATGGCTGGGAGACAGCCAGGGAGTCCTACAGCACAAGTGTTGACACCATGCATCAGTGAACAGAACTGATTGCTCTAGCCAGTGGACAGTATGAGCCCCACGTTCCTCTCCCCAAAAGAATGTGAGAGGGTGGGGAAAATAAGTGCACGCTTATTTCGAAAGATTTGATAATTTGTTTACATTGTTAGAAGAGTTCATTCAACATATTGTGAGGTTTCAGTCACTTTGAACTCAACTGTGGTCTGTAATGATTCAAGGACTTTCTGAATGCCTTTCATGGTGAGGTGGCAGTGTGTTACCTGCTCCCTGCACCTCTGTGAGAGAGCCAGGTTCTGGCATTGATCCTTGGTAGGCTGAATAGAACTCCACAGCTGATATGATCTGGTAATTAGAAGCCATCTTAGCAAGATACCCCTCAGAGTTATAAGGGGCTTCCCCCAGAAATTGTAAACTTAATATTTTGCAAAAATATTTTTGGGCATAATTATGCCACATGCTCCAAAATTATTATAACAAGAAATAATAGGATTGATGAACAGAAACCAATTCTCCTAAATTTATCAAAAGAGTAATGTCAATTGGCAGATGCCGCATTCTTAAACGAAACCCTTTGAAAAAAATTAATTTAATTGATATTGCTAGAAAATTTCAACTGCCTGACCAATCAAGATTTTTATAAGAGCAACTCTACAGATCTTACCTCAGGAAGTAACCAAATGCAATAACTAAGACATTACTTATATACTCATACTGAAGGAAGTGGCATAACATTATTCTATCACATTGAGATAGCATTGAAGGGCAGCCAACAGCCAAAATAAAATAAATATTAACACATACTTACCTCTCCTTAATTTCTTTTTCGACTACTGTTTGTTGGGTGCCAACAAGCACCCTCTCAGCTTGCAGAGGACCAAACTGCAATCTTTTATGTAGCAGCTCCCTTGCATAGACACCTGGTAAAGCAAGTCTCCATAAATACAAAGCAACAAATTCTTTACATTTTAACAACAATGATATTGTACAAAAAAAAGGGTAAAAACTAATCCTATCTAGTACATAAAACAACATGAGCTATAACACTGAAGGGATAGAAATGTAAACAAAAACAATTAAAAAAAACTGCAGTGAATGTAATGAAACACCTCTCTTTGAATGACCCCCCGGTGGCTTACTGAAGCTATACACCGAGATGTTCCCCATCTACCAGGTCACATCAGCCATGAGGCTCTCAGGCCTACCAGTGACTAATGCCAGAACCTGGTCCCAACAAAGAGGCTCAGGAAGTGGTGATATTTTGTGACCTCAACAGGGAAGGCATCCAGAAGGTTATAGCCATAACAAATCACTGCTGGGCTCAAAAAATAGCAGTGAATGTAATTAGTTATCAGGAGTTCATGGAGTTCTTGCCTACCGGGGACCACGAGCCAGAATCTGGCTCCCCTCAGAGGGGCATGAGGAGCAATGGCCTATAGAAACCACCGTGTGGTTGGAAGCAGTGTCTGCCATCGACCGGGTCTGTTATCCAGAAAGGGTAGGTGTCTCAAAAGAAACCCCTATTCTGGTGAAAACTTTGCTATTGAAAGCCGAACAAGTGGACAGAACTCCCAAAACCTAACATCTAGCATGATGTCATCACATCACCGTACCGCCGTCTGCGCATCCCCCTCCCTTCCCCAGGAGGGGGAAGGGGGAGCCCCAGACCCTTATGCCGGCGATCCAACCAGCAGTTCTTGGCTGATGTGATACTGGCTGGTCGAGTGGCTCCAGTTATATTTTCTGTTACTGTGCCCTGAACAATGGCCCAGGATATATTAACAAACACAGCCACGAGAGCGGCATATATCAGATCATCACTGGCTCAAGGGTGGACGGAAAGCTAGCAAGACTCCAGCTCCAGGTATATCACTGGAGCATACCTGGATACGGTTTCAGGAGTTCATCTACCCGACTTGTCATAACTTGGTCTTCGTTTGTCCATGTGTTGCTTGCTGGTGGGCTGTAGGCATTTACAATTATTAGTTTATCACCCTGATTCCAGACCTGCAATGCCACTACGTCAACTTCTTGAGGGTTTCAAGTACTGTATTAAAGTTCCTACCTTCAGGTGTTCTTTAGCCAGCAAAGAACACCTCCCCCCCCCTTTCTTTTCTATAAATTCATTAAAAGTGAGCTGCAGGTAAAGGATATTTAGAGGTTGAAAATATGGGAGAGAAACACGGAAAATGAAAAGGAAATGTGTGAAACATTAAACGAAAAGTTCCAAAGCGTGTTTGTACAAAATGAGATCTTCAGGGAACCAGATACAATAAGAATTCCAGAGAACAACATAGAGCACACAGAGGTGTCTTAGAGACGAAGTGAAACAAATGCTCTTGGAGCTAAGTAAGAACAAAGCAGTTGAACTTTCACCATGGGTTCTAAGAGAATATGCACATGAGCTCAGCATACCACCTCAGCTGATTTTTCAGACATCCCTGAGTACAGGAGTCAAAGTAGATGTGTGGAAAAAGGCTAACATAGTTCCAATCTACAAAAGTGGCAGCAGGGAAGACCCTTTCAATTATAGACCTTTATCATTGACAAATGTAATAGTCAAAATATTGGAAAAAATAATTAAAATTCCAGGGTAGAAATCCTGGAGAGAAATGATATATCAGACAGACAGTATGGTTTTCGATCTGGAAGATCCTGTGTATCAAATTTACTCAGTTTCTATGATCAAGCCACAGGGATTTTACAGGAAAGGGATGGTTGTGTTGACTGCATCTATCTGGACCTAAATAAGGCTTTCGACAGAGTCCCACATAAGAAGTTGTTCTGGAAACTGGAACACATTGGAGGGGTGGCAGTTAACACTATCGCTCGCTTTGGACACCGATCACGTCCATTTTTTTTCTCTTGAGTCCTAGCCATTAATAGGACTAGCGTCCACTACAAAATATTTCTTTAAAATTCATTTTTTATCCAATTGACCTTGGGATAGTTTCAAAATAGGAGCCTTTAGAATGCACACAATTTGATACCAAAATGAAACATGTAACACGAAACTTGATGTCAGAACACTTGAAAGATTGTAAATACTTTTTGAGTCTAAATTTTAAATGTTAAAATATTTGTTAAAATTCTATTTATTGTGCTATTATTATGGGACTAGTTTTAAAATGCGCACCTTTATATTGTGAACAATCTGATACCAAAACAAGCGATGTAACATGAAAATTGATATCAGAACACTGGAAAGATATAAATAATTTTGATGATGAGCGTCCAAAATTAAAATACTGTATTTGTTAAAATTCCAGTTATTGCTCTATTATTACAAGGCTAGTTTTAAAATGCGCGCCTTTATATTGTGAACAATTTGATACCAAAACGAGCGATGTAACATGAAAATTAATGTTACCAAACTGAACGAGTATACACATTAGGTTGTGGTGTGCTTGGTGCTTGTTTGCAGGTAACTTTAGGCTATGCTGCGGGGGAGTCTCAGTCTTTTGGACATTATATGCATATACATCTGCAGGGAATTTAATTGCAAACACAACAATACCAAAACAAACGACGTAGCACGAGAATTAAGGTGAGAAAACTGAAATGAGTATACACATTTTACTGATTTTGTGCGCTCACGGGTAACTGTCCGACTTTGGGCTTTACTGTGGGGAGTCTCGCTAGGCTTTTGGACATTATATGCATATACATCTGCAGGGAATTTAGTTGTGAACACAATGATACCAAAACGAACGACGTAGCACAAGAATTAAGTTGAGAAAACTGAAACGAGTATACACATTTAGGCGTCGCCGCGCACTTGCCCGCACCATTAGCCCCATGACGTCAAAGTCTGCGGTGCGCGCGTGGCGCGTGCGATAGTGTTAAGCTGCTAATATGGATGAAAAATTTTCTGACTGATAAAAAAATGAGTGCAGTAATAACAGGAAGTGTATCGGACTAGAGAAATGTCACAAGCGGAGAACCACAGGGTTCAGTTTTTGCACCGGTAATGTTCATTTTCTACATAAACGAGGGAGTTTTAGATGGAATACAGAATTATATGAACGTGTTTGCTGATGATGCTAAGATAATAGGAAGGATAAGTAACTTAGATGACTGTCATACCTTTCAAGAAGACCTGGACAAAATAAGTATATGGAGCACCACTTGACAAATGGAATTTAATGTTAATAAATGCCATGTTATGGAATGTGGAATAGGAGAACATAGACCCCACACAACCAATAAATTATGTAGAAAATCTTTAAAGACTTCTGATACAGAAAGAGATCTAGGGGTGGTTCTAGATAGAAAACTATCACCTGACGACCACATAAAGAACGTTGAACAAGGAGCCAATGCCACGCTTCCTAACCTATGAATTGCTTTTAAATACATGGATGGCGAAATACTGCACTAAAGAAATTGTTCACAACTTTTGTTAGGCCAAAGCTAGAATATGCAGCGGTTGTATGGTGCCCATATTTTAAGAAGCACATCAACAAACTGGAAAAGGTGCGAAGACATGCTACTAAGTGGCTCCTAGAACTGAAGGGCAAGAGCTATGAGAAGTTAGAGGCATTAAATATGCCAAAACTAGAAGATAGAAGAAAAAGAGGAGATATGATCACTACGTACAAAATAGTAACAGGAATTGATAAAATTGATAGGGAAGATTTCCTGAGACCTGGAACTTCAAGAACAAGAGGTCATAGATTTAAACTAACTAAACAAAGATGCCGAAGAAATATGCGAAAATTCACTTTTGCAAACTGAGTGGTAGACGGATGGAACAAATTAGGTAAGAAGGTGGTGGAGGCCAAAACCGTCAGTAGTTTCAAAGCGTTATATGACAAAAAGAGTGCTGGGTAGACAGGACACCACAGAGCGTAGCTCTCATCCTGTAACTACACTTAGGTAATTACAGGGAATAGCTCAACCGACAGCTGAAGCATACACCGTCTGCTTGAAGCACGTGCTTGTGAGGAGGGTCAGAAAGAGGACCACTCTAGAAAGAGAACGCAGACGACTGTACAGAAGAAAAAATATAACGGAAATGCTTAGGCAGACATGACTATCACAAGAAAGGAAAATAAACCTAAACAGGGAGATCAAAGAAATAGAGCAAACATTAAAAGCGATCATACCAGTCTGAGGAAATGGAATTTGAACAGACAGCTATACAAGAGATAAAGAAAAATCCAAAATATTTTTTCACATACACAAAATCAAAATAAAAAACCTCCACCAGTATTAGACCTTTAATTACAACCGAAGGTATGTACACAGAGGATAACAAAGAAATTAGTGAAATTCTAAGAAACCAGTATGAGGCTAAGTTTAGCACACCAATAAACAACATGAAAGTTGTTGCAGGCAATATGTCACAATTAAAAAAAAATAACGTGGCTGCAGAATGTTGACCAGACCACACACTAGAAGGTGAAGGGACGACGACGTTTCGGTCTGTCCTGGACCATTCTCAAGTGGATTGTGATCAAGTCAACCATTCTCAGAATCGACTTGAGAATGGTCCACGACGGACCGAAACGTCGTCGTCCCTTCACCTTCTAGTGTGTGGTCTGGTCAACATGAAAGCTGTTGATCCAGACAGCTTCTTTATGGATGACATTCAAGCTGCAGAAAATATAACGGATCTCGAACCCATTTATGATGTGACGACTTATACTGAATTTTGTAACTAGCTCATCAAGATTTTAACTTGCTAAGCTAAATGAATTGTGAGGTTCAGTCCCTGAACCCATTATGTGCCTCTTTAACTCTTTCCACTACCACCCACAAAATGGGTATGGCGTGCATAATAAATGAACTTAACTAACTATAACGGATATTAACACGAACTCGGAAGACTTTGAAAGAGAAATTGACAATATGCCCATGCACTCAGCTTCTAGGCCTGACTCATGGAATTCAATATTCATAAAGAAATGTAAAGTAC